GGTGCTTAATAAGGTAAGCCCTCATTGGTGCTCCTCGCATCTAGTCCGGCCAGCCGATTGGTTGTTTTCGCATTTCCTCTTATCTATCAGTTCTTCTGATTTGATTTAGTCATGGTCCATTTTTTGTCTCGTCTTTTAATCGGGGACGAAAATCTCGATCAATTTAGTCATTGTCTCAATGAAGGACTACTGCTTCCTAGACTACACAGGGACAGCAACAGCTGTGGCACTTTAGTGCTTGCGTTAATAATGCGATAAATTAACTCTGTCGAGCCACTTGTAGTCAGGGGTGCACATAACTGGTACGCAGGTACTTGTGCGCAACTAAAATCAGAAATGTGTATTATCACTTGTGTTGGTAAACGCCTGTGCGTACTTAGTTGTGGGGGGTGTTCCCTAGGGGTGTGTGGTGCAATGCCAGGCGTAGCACTTGCTGCTTTTGGCATACTCTGTGGCCGCAGCATTCTGGCCCAGGAACTGAGGCCGCTTTGTAATGACAGCGGTTCCCGCCTCCAGCAGCCTTTGGGCCACTTTGGCAACAACGCGGCGAGAGCGTGGCCGTACGGGGTTGTAATGTACCATACATAAACCATACACGTGCGCACAGGACCATCATCTGCTTGTTGCAAGCGTGTGTCTTTGCTTAACCTGTGCACGCAATAAATTCAGCGCTGCAAGAAACAGCTGGAATATGGAGCATCAGGTATTGTCCATGTCTTCCCCTGTGTCTTAAGCGCAACTTAAACTCGCTAAATTAAAACTTTGGTTCCTAAATTTTCCCTTGCATTAATAATGCATGTTGGTTGTGGCCAAAAGTAAAATGTTGTGAACAAATCACAACAGGCTGTCTTATTTTTATTGTTTTTGGCATACTTATGAAGGGGCCCTGTGAGTCATTTTAAGTGTAAAATCTTGATTAAGAACCATGCGACAAATGGAGTGAGCGCCAAACACAGTCTCCTGGTACTCATCAGAGTACCGCACTGAAAATGTTATGTGCACCCCTACTTACTGTGGTCCAGACCTAGACATATTCCAATCTGCCTGATAATTGCTCAGAATAATCTGTGAATCAATGCAAGCAACATATTACATTATGCGCAGTGTTCTTGTCCCATAGCTGAGAAATCAATTCACATCCATACTGTATGACCACAAATGCAACAGCGCCACCTCAAGACACTCTTAGAAGTTTTAAAGTTAAAAAAACTGCATACTTGTCCTTGATTGAATGTTCTTCATGTCTGTCTTCTACAATGTAAATTCTACATTTAGATGTGTCCACACTTTTTAGAAAGAGGGCTAGGTGTGTCCAGGGGCTAACAACCTGTATTATACAACATTTTGGCAAGATTTACACTGTTCTGAGCTTTATTATTGCTATGACTTACCTGAAATTAAATTACAGTGCCTTGAGAAAGTATTCGGCGGCCTTGAACCTTTCAACATTTCGCCACATTTCAGGCTTCAAACATAAAGATATTAAATGTAATTTTTTTGTTGTGAATCAACAAGTGGGACACAATCGTGAAGTGGAACAAATTTTATTGGATAATTTAAACTTTTTTAACAAATAAAAAACTGAAAAGTGGGGTGTGCAATATTACTCTGCCCCTTTACTTTCAGTGCAGCAAACTCACTCCAGAAGTTCAGTGAGGATCTTTGAATGATCCAATGTTGTCCTAAAGGATAAATAGAATGCACCTGTGTGTAATCAAGTCTCCGTATAAATGCACCTGCTCTTTAATAGTCTCAGGGTTCTGTTTAAAGCGCAGAGAGAACCATGAAGACAATGGAACACACCAGGCAGATCCGAGATACTGTTGTGGAGAAGTTTAAAGCCGGATTTGGATACAAAAAGATTTCCCAAGCTTTAAACATCTCAAGGAGCACTGTGCAAGCAATTATATTGAAATGGAAGGAGTATCAGACCACTGCAAATCTACCAAGACCCGGCCGTCCCTCCAAACTTTCATCTCAAACAAGGAGGAGACTGATCAGAGATGCAGCCAAAAGGCCCATGATCACTCTGGATGAACTGCAGATAACTACAGCTGAGGTGGGAGAGTCTGTCCATAGGACAACAATCAGTCGTGCACTGCACAAATCTGGCCTTTATGGAAGAGTGGCAAGAAGAAAGCCATTTCTCAAAGATATCCATAAAAAGTCTTGTTTAAAGTTTGCCACAAGCCACCTGGGAGACACACCAAACATGTGGAAGAAGGTGCTCTGGTCAGATGAAACCAAAATCAAACTTTTTGGCCACAATGCAAAACGATATGTTTGGCGTAAAAGCAACCCTGAACACACCATCCCCACTGTCAAACATGGTGGTGGCAGCATCATGGTTTGGGCCTGCTTTTCTTCAGCAGGGTCAGAGAAGATGGCTAAAATTGATGGGAAGATGGATGGAGCCAAATACAGGACCATTCTGGAATAAAACCTGTTGGAGTCTGCAAAAGACCTGAGACTGGGACGGAGATTTATCTTCCAACAGGACAATGATCCAAAACATAAAGCCAAATCTACAATGGAATGGTTCACAAATAGACGTATCCAGGTGTTAGAATGGCAAAGTCCAGACTTGAATCCAATCAAGAATCTGTGGAAAGAGCTGAAGACTGCTGTTCACAAACGCTCTCCATCCAACCTCACTGAGCTCGAGCTGTTTTGCAAGGAAGAATGGGAAAGAATTCCAGTCTCTCGATATGCAAAACTGATAGAGACATACCCCAAGCGACTTGCAGCTGTAATTGCAGCAAAAGGTGGCGCTACAAAGTATTAGCGCAAGGGGGCCGAATAATATTGCATTTTTTTATTTGTTAAAAAAGTTTAAATTATCCAATTAATTTTGTTCCACTTCACGATTGTGTCCCACTTGTTGATTCTTGACAAAAAATTACATTTTTATATCTTTGTTTGAAGCCTGAAATGTGGCGAAATGTTGACAGGTTCAAGGGTGCCGAATACTTTTGCAAGGCACTGTAAATGACAAATGACCATCTCACCATTATTAATACCATTAATGGAATTCTGTAAGACAATCAAACCCAAATTATCACAAATAAAGTGACTGGCTGAATTCTAGATGTCCTCATCTAGAACATTCTTTATCTAGACACATTGACACGTATCACATCTATTTATTTATTTTTGGATATTTGTAGTGATACTTGCAGTGTTGGCAAAAAAAATCCTTTTTCCTGTACTTTCTCTGCTCTCAGGGCGATCCGCATAGAGCTACAAAGCTGGAATTTGTATCTGCATGATGTCATCACGACCTGAGTGAAGCTGTGCACTATCTAGCGCCACCTATTGGAGGCTCAGAAGCCTCCAACTAAACATTGTCTGATTGGCACTAAAATCTATGCAGTTATGAGCAAAATATCTAACGCAGAGGATGTATGTCCCAAAGTGGACCACTAAGGGGGCACAGATTTCTATAAAGGAGCTTTTTTGGCCTCTATCTTGGCTTGATTATATTACAAATGAATTTACAAATACACAGGATGCCTGATATTTGTGCTAAGTTTTGGTCAGTGTTACAGCCCATACCCTTAAAGTATGGGTAGGCTTAATTTTCTATTAATTATATACCACATCCAAAGTGCAGATTCAAAAAGATTAAAAATGTAAACTGTGGATGGAGAGCTTATCTGTAAAATGTGCAATTTACAATTCAGTGATAATCCTTCAAAATAAAATACAAAATATTAACTAAAAATGATTCCGCAAAAGACTGAATAAAGCTGTATACCACAGTATTAAAATAAAAATAGTGTCTTTTTTCTTCAGACTCAGATTTACTTTCTTTGAATTAGCAGTTCAATGTTCTCAAGTCCACTGCCGCTTTGCAGAAGTTTGGGTGAATCCTACCAGTTCAGAAGGAGTATATGTTCAGTCCAACAGAGGGTGTTAACTCTCAGATGGATGTAGATCAGAAGGTCCAGGGACGGCTCGCCATCTTGTTTCAACCTCGTGCTCAGAGATGATATAAAGTTGACTATTTCTCCTACCCATTCTGAATGGCCTACCATAAACAACATAAAATGTACATAAATACACATAATACATAATCCGGTAGCTCTAAAATAAATCTGCTCTCTGTCTCAACTGGTGCTTGCAAAATGGCTGCTAATCAGCACTAGTCCAGACAGTGAACATGTGCACGCTTGGGTTAGCCTTAGCTAAAATTTGGATTGTGTGCTCATATTTTACCCCAAAATAATCTCAAATAACAAATATCAGCACTTAAGCTTCACATTTCCATAAAAATATTATTACATTGCACAGATTTACATTAAAACAAAATACATTTCTTATTTCACTCACCAAGTCCCGATTCTCCCGATTCTCAGTACAGTACAACTTGCCTCGGTCACAGGACAAGGTGAAAAAAACAAAAATACTCTTCTTTAACTTTCTTTAAAAACCAAAAATATCTCTCTACAACTCAAGACTCGCGTATCTCTTCGCAAAAATCAGTTTTAACCACTTTTAACTCAAAAATATCTTAACTCCTATCTTTCTTGTCTCCTTCTGCCCGCGTCTGCTTTTTGCCAGTTCTAGAACAAATCTGGTTGGCTGTTGCTAGTCACCTGGGTCACACATGAGACATGCAACTACTTAAATAAAAGTCCAAAAACATTTTTTAAACCAAAACAACCATGAATTTGCATATTTTTTAGCTTTTTGAGGATACTAATGATTAGATTAATATATTATAGACATTTTTAATGACCATTTAACCATATTGACATATTGATGTTTTATTAACATGCTTTTACTTTGACGGTCACATTGTTAACCTGGGTTACACCGGCACTCGACTAAATTCTTGCTCTTTTTGTTTCATTTATAACATTTTAACATGTTATAAATGAAACCATTATAACATCCAATCATGATATTTAAGAAGGCCTAAGTAGGATCTATCATATACATGTCAAGTGAACAGCTTGATTTGATTTGAGTGAAGACCTGTGTGCTCTTCTCCACAGCTGACGTTGTTGTTGAAACTGGAAGATAAACTAAACAGGCATCTAAGCTGTGACCTGTTACCAAGTGAGTTTGTTTGTGTGTCTGTCTGCTGGTCTGTCTGTGTCTGTCACATCTGTTTTGTCAGCAGATGAGAATGTGCAGGAGTTGGCTGTGGAGCTCTTTCAGCTGGGTTTCATCAGTGAGGTGGGCTTTCACACTCTTTCGGCTTTCGTCTCTGTTCTGTATCCTAACTGAATTCCTCCATCTATGCAGGGGGATCCGCCTAAACTGGCATCAGTTCTTGAGGAGGCCTTTTCAAAGTTCTACAGCAGAAATGGCTCTCTCAACCCTGTCACTGTGTCTTCATAACAGCGTCTGTGAGAGGTTTTAGCCTCTATGCAAACTGAGCATGCCCAGGCACTTTCAAGGAACAATGATTGCAAATGTGGCAGACAACTTTTTTTTCAAAAGATAATTTTTTGGAATACATCCAGGTTCCAAACGTGACTTCCAACCAACATTCCTTTTCCAGATGTTTAATTTGAAGGTAAAACCCTGAAACTGTAAAAAGGCTAGGACTACTAATGAGAGTATTTCCAAGTCGTTGTATAAAATATCCTTGAGTCATAGATTCATGTCTCAATTCTAAGAGTTTGGCAACTCTAGGAATAACTTTGGAGTCATTTCGTAAGAATAACGTCAGATGTCATCACAGTCGAGCTGTGATGAAAGCTACATTTTCAGAAGGACCAGATTGTACCGCTCAGACCTGCTTTGTGTGCATTCAGAGCATCAGGCCATCTGCTCCTTTCTGCAGACAGCTTCAATGTGTCTCAGCACTATCTATTAAATACTCGTACTGCTTTAGTGTGGTCAGCTGTGAAAACTGCTTTTCTTAACACTGAAGCTGTTCTCAGGAATACTGTTACAGTGAACTCCTGCTGCTCAGTCTAGGATTGGACTCTTGTTTTGTGCATGGCAAGAACAGCCAGCCACCTTATATGATCATCTGATACCTGTGGCCCATTATGAAATAAAAGGACATCTGAAATGTTGGTATGGGAAGAGTTGAGTCTTGCTAAATGGCAATGTGCATATTAGAAAATCTTCAACAGAAATATGTAAAAGTGTGTAAGACTTAAAAAAAAATTTTTTTTTGATAATGTTAGTTGCTTCCTGGTTTAAGATGACATCACATGCAGGAATTCTGTAAATGTTTATTGTAATGTTCACAGTAAGGAATACGTAACGACAAAGTATAAGAACATTACCTTATTTTTTGAGATCATGTTCAAAGTTTCCGTAAATTTTGCCTAATGTAATTGGTTTTTGATCTCTTCTACTTCCTTTATATTCACCATTTTGCTTGGTGCAAACCATGTTTGAAACTGGTTTTTCTGTCATACTCACTTTAAAATCTGTTGCTCTTTATTTGACTTGTACACGATGCTCACTGCCACGCATCAACCTTTTCACTTCAGAAATATGAATAAAGGATTCACCCATTCATCGTCCATGTGAGATTTTTTTATAAAGTTGTCTTGTCTTATCTTGTAAAATTCTTGATTTTGACATCCCCGTGTTCCGGGACTTATTTGAAATATTCTTTGATGTATGAATTAAAGTAATGTTCAGATATAAAACATATATAATCCGGTAGTTTTAGAAAAGATTTTACTGAAATGAAACCACAGATTGAGAAAATGCAGAGCTACAGTATTGCTGACCTGGCAGTTACAGAAGAACAATGAATTGTGATGTTACATTTACACATGCTGATGTAATAACAAAGTCATAAAATGTGTGCAGAATTATTAGGTTCTCATGTTCTACATTGTTGCATCACTTTAACCTTGTGTTGCCTGTATCAGTGTTCCACCATCTGTTTCATTGAAAACAATCTCATGGCACACCACCAGCTAGAACTGATGTAAAAAAGTATTTCATACAGAAAATGTTAACTAATCCAATAATTTTCTTGTCACATTTCTTTTGAGCAATTCTGTGATATTGGGTCATTTCAAAATGGGTCCCCAGCCTGTACTCGCCCATCCTTCATGCTGTGCATCACCTGTTCCACACAAGGCAATATAGCCAGGCCTTATCCGTACACTGCTCAATTATCATTTCACTGCATGTAATCTGCACTGCACGTCTAATCCCTGGTTTTAGCGATTACAATCGGTTGAATTCTCACCGACCTACCAGCGAGCGCGGAAGGCAGGTGTTGTAGTTAGTTGTGGGTGACATCAAGAGTTTGCGTCGAACGGGAAGGTCGTAGATTGGCAATGGCGAAAAATGCGATAGTAAAGTAATCCGGTCTGGTTCTATCAAGAAATTGAAGCCGGAGCAATAGGAATGTTTAGCAAATCAAATTGCTGTAATAAATTGTGGCGCTACTCCCCACGGGCTTCGTTAGCGGCAAAGGCAATGGCTAGGCTAAATGCTAACGACAGACTCGGGCGCACTACAGATCCAATTGTTTCAATCTGCAAAAGGAGGTAACCCCTCCCACCTGTAAACGGAGCACAATGGAGCTCACCTCCAGACCTTAGTACGAAATTTAATTTGTACGGTGTCTTATTGCTTCTAGCCTGGTCGTACCACCAGGCTAGAAGCAATAAGACACTGGAATGCCTACACCTCGTCTGCCCTTCCCCCCCCTGGCCAGAGCGGACCACAACATTGTCCATCTACAGCCCATTTACGATTTTAGCCCATTTTACGCCGGTTGTGCGTAGGCATCCTGTCGTCTCTTGTGTGGTGAAGCTGTGGAACACAGACAACGCTGTGGGATAAGCTCTGTGACCCACACGGAGCGGACATTAATGCCATGGCAGAGTGCGTCACGGATTATATCAACTTTAGTTTTGAGAGCACCATACCAGCCTGCACAGTCAGGTGTTTCACAAACGATAAGCTATGGATCAACCCTGACATCAAAGCTCTGATTTAATTGAAGTTAAATGGTTTTGAGTTCTTATTGGCCCTCATCTATGAAACTTGCGCAGAAAAGGATGTATATTTTTGGTGTAGATTCCATTTACGCAAAATCCAATGTAGGATTTATGAACGTGTGAGATCCGCACAGATCCAAGCGTACGCGGGTGTTGATAAATGCTGCGCTCAAAACCAGCGTATTTATGAAAGTCAAGCCTAGAAATATTCAGAAAACGCCTGTTTCATGCCCCGTTTTTACAACAAGTCAGCATGGAAGCCTCAAAAGGCCTGTTAGTGACACGCACTGAGTTTATTTTGAGTTTTATTTTATCATTTTGTTTAAAAAGATATATACGCTCATTTCTGTATACGCGTTTTTCCCTATAGTGACCCACTGCAGCACTCATCTCTCTTGAACTTTAGAAGTAAATGAATCAATGACTGAATGAATGAAGGAATCTTAAAAAATATTTCCAACCACCTTTTGAGAGCTTATGGGTCTCTAATAACATATCAATTACAATATTTGCCCCCCACACCCCCCTCAACCAGATTTTGGTTTGTTGCTTCAGTGCAACAATGCGCAACAAAGGGACTAAAACACCAAGGTTTTCACTATGCATAAAATGATGAAAATGATTCTCAAAGGAATCACATTTGAAAGTTTTATGTATCAAAACAGTATTTTCCCTCTTGAGCAAGTTTGAGGATGAGAGGAACACTAGTGAACCAGTTGTCGAAGATCCACTTTGGTTCTGTTGCCTTAGTATTGGTTCAGCCAGACGAAGGACAACATTCCCACTTGCACCATCCCCAGGTAAGGGGGGTTACCTCAAAGTTGTGAGGTATTCCTTCGGAACTAGTATTTTGTACTCACATTACTTGGGTTTGGGTGGCAGGTACTGCTTGTGCTTGTGCTCAGTTCAGATTCATGGTGTTAACAAATTGGTGCACCCAACTTGGGACCCGAACTGCTCAAGTTCTTTAGTGCTGAGGTTGAGGCCTGTTGGGGTTACACTGTATGGCATACAGATTTGAAAAAAAAATACATCCTTGAAGTAGTGAAAAGGGGAGAACATATCTTGAAATCTTGGGAGACTGCCTTGCCATTCAGGATAGTCAGGGAAGTTGGCATTATGGGGTGTTCATCTTCAGCCACATTTTCATTCATATCATTAGAGTCACTAGCATGCCCATCTCCTACAATCAGTCACTACTTGCACACAGGTTTGCATACCCCCAAACACACCCTCACAAACCAGACAGACATACAGTTTTACAGAACCCTGAATGCCCCTGACCACCCAACTATGTCTCAAACCTGAATCTGGGGTCCATTCTACTCCACTGACACTCTCCTCCTCAAGCTTTCAGATGGAATGTCCCTAACTCCATTATTTGCTCCATATAACGTTTTCACGTCCATTTCCTACAAGTAACAATAGTTAAAACTGAAATTTTAGATAGAATGACAAAAATATTGAGTATGTTGCTTGTAATTCAATTCAGCACAAGGACATCCATTAGCATTATATTCTACCAACAAAAGTGCTACATGTGCATGACGTTGCTTTGAGGCAACAAAACTAAATCCACTGTTTTAACCCTTTAGGCGCCGGAGTTTTTTCAAGAAAATATACAATTTTGATTTCAAGATTTCAAAAGGCTATAACTTTAAAATGGTTTGAGATAAAGGCATACTGTAAATTAGAAATATCTTCAGTCTGAACCAAACTTTGGGATGGAAGTTGATTCGTCTTCTAATTTGCATATTGTGACGTCATCAAGGTGGCGGCCATTTTGGAAAATGTTAATTATAGTATAAAAACTTCAAAAAGCTGTAGCTTGGGAGTTATTTTAGATCAGGGAATACTATAAACAGTGAATGTGAAATATCTTTAGTATAAAATGAATTTGGGATAGAAATAAATTCCCTGATCCAGATTATAGATAATGTTTTAGCACTGGTTCGCGCCATATGGAATTGTATTATTTTCAAAGACCTTCAGTGATCAAGACAGCACTCTTTATAGTTTACAGTCATGAAATCTGGAGATTGGTTTCAATATTTCCCTTTCAAAGAAGTGGTGGGCTTACTATTTTTCTCAGTGGAAATGAGGCTCCAGGATTTATCGTGTAGAAACAGAGAGATGAACTGAAAGGGCTCAGAACATGTCAGATCGTCTCAACAAGACACAACAGGCTCTTCAACACTTCTGATCCACTTTTGTGGATTATTTTCTCTCAAGAACTGCCTTCATCCTCATCATCGCTGTTGGTAAAGGCAGTGAACACGATTAGCGTTGTGTTTTTTTCCCGCGTCTCCCGTGTTGCTCGTGGATGTCTACCCTGGCTACTTTCTCCCACATGCCCGGTGTTATGATGCCCCTGTCCCCTCCACCACGGCCCCT